ATATATAAAGCACTTCTTTTCTTCAATAATAGCTAATCTTTCATAATGAATATATTCTTTAGTCTCTTGTTCGTTTGTTTGATTGCAGTCAGCCATGGTAAGTGGAAACAAATATAAAATAAGACATTTTAAGCGGAAAAACAATAAAACTAGTTTATTCTTTGTAAATTTATATAAAAATTTAGAATAATCTCTGATTTTATTTATAGTGTAAATTATAATGTAATTGTTGTAAAAATATTTTCCGTAAAAATATTTTAAAAATAAAAAATTTATTTTGCTACATTTCTATTGATTTCATATATTTTTAAATATATTTTCTATGTATTTACGCCGTTTGCTATTAATATTTTGCAATAATACAGCAGTATAGATAATACTAATTATAAGTACAACATATATTTAATGGATTTCAATTCAACGTTTAAATATATTATTTCACTGACATTGAAATTAAATTGATATTTGTAAAAATTGTATAAAAATACATTTTATATACTTATACAATCAAATATGAAGAGTCAACTGATAGTAAATAATATCTAATTTTCTATAATATTATTTTTTCTGTATAACAATATAATATAATTTAATTAAATAGAATTTCTTAATTATTCCAATTATTTAAATGTGTTTAATTTATATGTCTTTGAATTAACTTCTTTATTATAATACATTTTTGTGACTTCTATAATGTTTCACAGAAAAATAGAATAATTAATTAGAATATAAGTAATCGATAACAATAATTCATATTTTTTTATTATTTTATTAAAAATTAGATATTATTATTGAGAGTGATTTAATCTTTGTCGTAATATAACTGTTTCCAAAAACGTCACATTTTCTATTTGATCTTATGTTTAAAAAAGTAATTAAGAACCATTATTATATTATTATAACTTGCAAAATCTTTGATATAAATATATAATATAAATGTAATCATAAGAAAAACATTTAAATAAAAGTTTATCGAAAAAATTCTACGTTAAAAATGTTAAAAATCTGTTTAGCTGAAGATTCCTACATCGTCGGTGGAATTAATGCTTTAGATGGAGCTCATCCTTATATAGTGTCTCTGAGACTACATAAAGTCAGTCATTTTTGTGGCGGATCCATTATCTCAAAACATTATATTCTTACCGCGGGTCATTGTCTTATCCAGTGAGTATTTCTTTTGTACAGCATGCAAAATACTCCCATAGCAAAGGGTTACACATCACAATTATATCACAATTAATAGAATCAAAATAGTCAAGAAGAAATTATGATGTCATTGTAAAATTGTCATAATAAAATGACACATGTTACAAAACATTCGCACATCACCATGACGTCACATTTGTGACAAAGCGGACATTCGTACATCACCATGACGTAACCATGATTGTTGTAATGTAGGTACTATGACAATTTCTGTTATGGGAGTAAGATTTAAAAATCCTGTACTAATTCCTAAAGGATTACAATATTTAACTAATGCTTCATTATTAGCATTTCTTATTATTTCGATTTTTCAGATTTCCTTGGAAAATTTTTAGATATATAAATATTTAAATTCTTCGGCCGTATTTACATTTCTAATTTTTTAATTATTAATGTTAACTAATTAAATTTAATTTAAGCAATTGCAAATCAATATTAATTTCTTATTTATATAATACAATATATAATTCTTATAATTTATAATTTTGTGTAATACAGATTTATCGATTCAGAAAGTCTCAAAAACGTAACAGTTCATGCTGGCACAAATCGTTTAAGTGAATCCGGTTATATTTACATTCCTGAAGAAGCCATTGTTCATCCTGATTATGATCCTAATTTATTATACAATGATATTGGTTTGCTTCATCTGAAAACGGATATACAATACAATAAATTGGTGCAACCAATCTCTATCGCAAAGACGAATTCTGTTTTGGTTGGCGATGCTTGCTTCTTGACAGGATGGGGAACACTAAGGGTAAGAAGAATAACAAACTATATCTTAATAAGTAATCAAATAGAGATTTCTTTACAATTGTAAAATAGTATAGATATTACATAAAATATTACTACTAGTCAAATCATTACATCGCTAAATATGAAACATAAAAGTAAATTACGATGAAAAAATTTACACCAATGTCTTTTAGGATTTTATATCAAAGTATATATCTCTCCATTTTTTCTTATATTTCTTCGAATATTTTTACAGTATTTAGGTGAACTTCCTGATAAGCTTCAAAAAGTTAATCTGAAAGTTTACTCACAATCACAATGCAAATATCTATTCTTGAGTGTGAGGCCCAGTCAAATTTGTGCATTTTCACAATTTGGACAAGGAGCATGTCATGTAAGTATGATAATTGATCTTAATTAAACACATAATATATTGATTAAATAATTTTAATTTTATAAACAAGCAATTATTTAAAAAATGATTAATTACACAAATTTCTAAAAAATTCAATGAGTCAATAATACTTTAGTTAATTTACTATTTTATTTCATGCAAATTCTATAAGTATGTGTTCTTTACATTTTTATTATAAATTCTATATTTTTAAAATATATATTAATAATTATTCTCTTGTGATATTAAACATTGTAGTATCATTTCTAACAAATGTCTTCTTTAGGGTGATTCTGGTAGTCCGCTCGTCGCCAATGGTATTCAAATTGGCCTTTCCTCGTTTGTTCGACCATGCGCTAGAGGATTTCCGGACGTGTATACTAGGGTATTCTCTTTTGTGAATTGGCTTGCCCAGTATATCAATGTTTAAAATATATCAGTATATCAGTATCTGAATAATAAAATGAAATAATTGTATCACTTTATTATTTATAAAATTAAATTATTACATTAAGAAATATTTTAATATTTTAAAAAACATTTATAAATATTTTTCATTCAAGTTTGTTTTTACAATATGTTACAAAACATATGACAAACATTTTGATCAGAAAGAGAAAGAGAGAGATAATATAATATTTCACACAAATATTTATTAATCTCGTGATCATATCTGCATTAATCTTATATTTAAAGACAGAGCACGGTGCAATGTGGATTTGATGATTAAAATTATACTATATTATAGATCATTAATATTGTAAAGAAGACAAATATAATATAAAATTCATAAGCATCATTAAGAAGGATTAGTATTTAGTATTAGAAATATTACAAAAATTTTACAGATTATTCTTATATATACATTCGAAGACTTATAATAAAGTCCGAAGTCGTTTCATTGAAGCAATTTAAATGAAATTATAAATTTTTATTTAAAACTTTTTTTACTTTTACTTTTTTATAATACTTTTTTACATAAATGTAATAAATAGTCATTTCCGTACTTCTGTTTACTGAACATGAATCTATCAAAAAATGTAAAAAACATAAAAAATAATATAATATCTATTTATTAATTGCAAAATTGATTATTACTAACAATAAATTACATCGAAATCTCAATAAATCATAAGACTTTTTTAGTAAGAATGGACACATCATCATTGTCGCGTGCAATTTTAAAAATCAAAAAATTATTAATATAACTTTAAATAATTTATTCTACGTAGATACACATTAAATACGCAATAAAATATTTGTGCTCTCTTATATCATGTATGTCCAATATCAATTTATTATAAAGGAATTAACAAATTAGAATATATGCTTCTACAAAAATATCATTTGTATACATTTATAAGGAACATTTTTTAAAATTTAGTCTTATTTATTTTCCAAAAGAAATATATATTGTTTACTAAAAATCGAATATCAAATGTAATATCTAAACATCTCAAATGAATATATTTATTATATAAAACACCTTTTTCTATTATACAAAAATATAAAAATTTATAAATGCTTTTACGATTAATTATACTGTAACTGTAATGCTACACATCATTATAAAATTCAATGAAATTATATAAACAAATTCCTGATTAATAATGGGTTTGCCATTAATATAGTTTGTATATAGATAAATGTCGTAAATAACAACGTACGTTAATTTGTGCATATTTCCTATCGATACACTTAGATAAATTAAAGTGCCAAGTGATTTCAATCTATGATATAGGATATAAATTGACGATAACATGTTCAACGTGCTTATCGTCATGAATGTTGTACCATAATGCTTATCGCCATGAATGCTGTCGCTGGTTTTATAATCGCATGTCTGGTGCTCACCACCTACGGTAAGTAATATTTACTATAATAACATTATATTCATTATATAATCTTTTTATCGTGCGCGTTATAAGACCCAAATAAATCTCAAAAAATTTTCATATCAAACTTTACTTTCTAGAATTCTAAATTCTTCTTTCTAATAATCTAACTCATATAATCGTAAAGATTATTTAATAAATTTAGTACTTCTAGTAATGCAAGTCCAAGATATTAAAAATTTTCGAAAAATTCTCTATTCGCATTTTGTGTGTTTAATGTTATTAATTCTTTTAAATATAAGACAAAGATAAATGACTTATGTGACAGTCATTCCCAAACTGATATCTTTAACGAAAACAAATGTAAAAATTCTTTTAATCGATAAGTTTGCCACATCTGCAAATTGTCGGTAGCAATGACGCTGTGGACACATATCCTTATCAGGTGTCATTGAGAAACGATTTGACATTAGATTCTTTATCTCATTTTTGTGGTGGAGCCATTATAAGCGAACATTATATTATTACTACTGCTCAATGTATTAATCAGTATGTACATACATTCTTATCTTGTTTAAATATTTTTAATTATATATAAAGATTATGCGTTTCGCGGATTTCCTCCATATCCAGATCCATTCTTGGAATGCCAACGTTTTGTGAACCTTGCAGTTCACTTCATCAAGGCGAGGAGCAATCTGATACTGAGCTGTTCCTCTCCCGATGAAGTGGACTGCAAAGTTCATGAAATGTTGATATTGCAAAAATGGATCTGGACACGGAGAAAACCCATGAAACGCATGAAATCTTTATACAGAAAACATCCGCAGAAGAAGATTTTTAATTATAATTTATTTGAATAATTGTGTGAATAAATAAAGATTTTTATAGAATTACATAGATTAATAATATTTTTCAAAAATCGACTAGTAATGTAAAATTTTCAGCTGCTAGTATATATATATATATATATATAAAACATTCTATTCGTGCAAACATATTCTATTCGTGCATTTTCAGTGTGATAGTTATCTGAAGTGATACAAGTAACAATCAAAGAGAGGCTTCTTTTAAATTATCCAAAAAAATTATGAGAAAATTTTTAGCAAAACTGAAAATAAATAAATTCACTTTATATTTTATAATACGAGAATTATAAAGAACAAATCTTTATTGCTTTTTATATCAGTATTCCCTTAAGAATTTGTATCATTAAATTTGAATCAAATATTAAATAATTATCATTTGTATGAATCATTAGATTCGAGAATCCTTACAACGTTTATGCCATCGTTGGAAGCAATTGCTTTAACGCAATTGATGCAGTATATCAAGTAAAAAACTTGATAATACACGCTGGTTTCAATAATTTGCTACATATTCATGATATTGGTTTAATCCAAGTATCAAGCAATATCATATTTAACAAAAACGTCCAGCCAATTGTTTTGTCAACTACCGATCGCAATTTCGATGATTATCCTCTCTTAGTTACTGGCTGGGGAGATCTTTGGGTAAATTTAAAAGCATTATAAATTCTTTGCTATTTTTCTTTTGCCAAATCGTTTCTTTAGTTGATGTAAAATTTAAAAAATAAATTCCTTTGAATAACGTTTTACAAAAAACATCAATATAACATTGTTAATTTATAATTCAGAATTAAGTGTATTTTAAACATGTCTATTAAAATAAGCATTAAAGAGCTTCATAACTTACTTTAGAAATATTGTATCTTATATTCAGTCTTAAATAAAGAACTTATTTTAAAATATATGTATAAAAGAGAAGTTAAAAAGTTAAAAAGATAGTAATAAATATATGATAAGTTCTTTTCTAATAGGAAAAGAAATAGTAAATAAATATAAAGTTATCTAAAATAATACTTACAAATGTAATTTGTATATACTTTTTATATATTCTTTCTATTAGAAACAAATGCATACTTGCATACTTATATAATAAAACAATTAAAAAAGTTTACATATAAAATATGAAAATAATAATCTATAAAAAAATTATGATATAAATTTAATAAAATAAAGTGTTAAATAAATTAATAATTTCTTTTAGTCGAGTGATTTAGTTTTTAATCGCTTGCAAGAAATTATAGTAAGAGGATATTCCCATGAGTTATGCAACAGATGGGCATACGTCAAAGAGACTCATATATGTACTTTTACAACGGAGAATAAAGGATTTTGCCACGTAAGTAACCGTGAAATAAATAGTATAATAGTATAATAGTATATTGTGAAATAACAGATATCTGTTATAATAGACAAAGAAACAAGTTTATCAAATGAATAGCACAATTAATGCTATCATTTTATCTATAAATTTATATTTAAAAATGAAAATAAAAATGTTTACCGTTTGGATAGCTTTCCTTGGAATTCAATAATTTTTATCAAATGTTATTATACGCTTTTCTTATAATATAAAATCAGAAAGTTTTAATGTCACACGTTGTTGTCGACAAAAATTTAAAATTTAATAATATAAAATATAAAATTATTGCATTCCAACAAATTATACATACATAAATAAAATTTTCTATCAAGCAATATTAAATAAATTGTTACGACAGAGCGACACCGGTAGTCCACTCGTTTCTGATGGGGTTTTAGTTGGTCTTATGTCGTATAGTTATGGTCCGTGTGGTACAAGTACTCCAGATATATCTACCAGAATATCTTCCTATCGATCGTGGATTAAATACTATACAGGGATCTGATACTGTAATAGATCTACATCCCATCAAACTGTCATTCCGAAATTTTTTACAATTACGACATTCATTATTTTAAAACAGCAAGAATCAATGACTAGCAATTTCTGTTTAATAAATTATGTAAAGAGAACTATATATAAAATGTTTATTTACAAACAGTATTTTATGCATTAAATTTAGATGAAAATTTAAGGAATTTCTTAATACATAAAATAATATTTTCAATTTATATAACAATTTATATAAAATTGGATTTATCTTTCATAAAAATAAATCAAATTAAAACTATAATTATTTAATATTTAAAATGATGTATGTAACTATGATTTTAACTATCATTTTAATTCGTACAAAAAGCAGAAAATTATATCTATTCAAATACAATTTGAGTTTATAACCATAACTTGCTATTATATGATTAATAAAATACATTCTGAAATATTCGGTCGTTATGTCTTTTCGAATCCATAATACTATCCTTCTCATAATACATATCCTTGACGATAACGTATTTTCTACGAACATATATATATTTTGTTACCAGTAAATATAACCTCTTTTATCTTCTCTATTAGGTAGTATAGTCTAGTGATTACTTTTAGAATTATTTACTCATACATTAAATATGATAGAGAACGCTATCACGGTCGAAGTTAGATGTTTCGAATAATACAATATATATTCTTTATTAAATCAATTTATTTCAGATATGATTGAGCGCCGATAACTTTAGGACACTTTTAATACATCAGTCTGAAAAAAACACTAATAATCTCTAAGAAAAACTGAAGAATTTATTATTTATTTATTTTGCCGTTATTATAAAAGTAATATGTCAATAGATAATAGTCATTTACTGTAATATATTTTTACTTTCAAACTTTTCATTTTTAAATGCATTTAATTACGCATACTTTTTCATTCTTTTTAAACTTTAACGTATTATTATTTTATTTAGTTACATACACATTTCGAGTTGTGCAAAATTAAACAACAGTATGGCATTTTGTTAATGCGACTAAGCGTACTAACTGACGATCATTTTTTTGAAGTTTTCAAATCAAAATAATTATTTTATAAATTCTTAGCGAAAATAAAAATTGGCTTCCTAATTGTGTCCACCAAGATATACAATTATATACAATTATAGAGAATGGATTAATGAATATATATTAATACAAACAGCAACCAACAATCAAACATCGTTCTTGAACTTTTTACAATGTATCTACTTATACATTTATTTTTATAAATACGTATATATTTTATTGTGTGATCTGTGTGACTGTGATCAATTATCGATTTTAATTATAAATAATGCATGAAGACGAAATTCAATTTTAAGAAAAAAATTGTTTTGTAGCTGATGATGTGTGTGTGTGTGTGAGCGTGTGTTTTAACAAATGTGTGTGTGTGTGTGTGTGTGTGTATTATTACAACAAAAGATTAATTTCATAAATTATAAATCATAATATCATCTACAACAATAATTCTTTTTAAATAATTTTCATCTATTGTATGTATATGTACAATTATGTATATATAATTCAATCATATAACATCAATATATTATAATTGTATATACAAAATTGATATTATTTATATTATAATTGTATATACAAAATCGAAATTATTGATTTATATTAAATGTATTCAAATAGCACACAGACGATTGTATTAAAAAAGAATTTTTCTTTATAAATTAATAATTTATTTAAAATAAATTCGAAAAAATAACTCACCCACCCACGAGTAGTATTACCAATAAAAGCGGAATTCTATTTCTCGTAAGAGGTAAGAATCATACAGGATAGAATATAAAAAGCGCAGCATTAATTTTTTACTTCTGTTCTAATAAAATAATTTTTTAGAGGCATATCCCCAAAATACAGCTCCATAATGAACATAAATAAAATATTGTCAGAATAATTTTGTTTTTTAATTCTGTTTAAAAACCTAATATCCTTGAGAATTATGTATTTGTGTTTGCTAGAATATTTAAAATGTCAATTTTATTGCGAATTCTCACAGACTAAAAAAATTTTCTTTTTTATCTAAAAAAAAAGTTCAAAATTCATGAAAGTGAAAATGTTCTGAAACTTTTACCCAAAAAGAATTATCTGGTTTTATATTTTAAAAACGAAAAAATGCAGGTTAGTGTAAAATATTATTTTACATGGATATTGTTCAACACATTCTCTTTCTTTTTAATGGCTATTTTTTACAAATCTTTAATTTTACAAAATCTTTAATTACGTCTTTATTACGTATTAATTATTTATTTATTAAGTAGAAACCAAATATGTTAAACCATCTATGTTCTCAAATATTAATAAATCGGAAAATCGTTAATATACAATATGTTGTTAATAATGATTTTTATTCGTATGTAAAAAAATTATAAAAAAAATTATATAAAAAAATTTAACTAACTATTCTCGGGAAGAAAATGTTCTTGAGTCAAAAATAGGATAACAGAAGAATACATATTAGGTGTGGGAAAAAGTTCGTGGCGTTTTTCCCATTAGATAGCATTAAAAAACGCCACGAACTTTTTACCACACCTAATAATTTCATAATTCAGGGATTAAAAAAGAAATACTTTTTAATTCTTTGCATTGTCTGGGTATGTATAATTTTACTAAGATTTTTTATAAAATAAACAGAAAATATTTCCAATAATTTTGCATATTTCTTGAAAAAATACAGATTGTAAAATAGATTGCATATCTATTTTTATATATATGTATCAAACTAATTATATTATCAAACTAATTATATCAAACTAATTATATTAATATTGAAAAAGACACAATACATATAAAGATTTAAAGCACAATAGATACCTCATTATTTATCAAAGTCGAATTACTTATTATTTGATCAAATTAGCTTTGATTCATTCCTTAAGAGTTTCATCTTTGCCGTAAAATTAGCTAGTTTCATGAATTTTTTAAAGAGAATTTATTATATACAGAAGAATACGAGGTTTAGCAGAAAATTATGTTATGTTTAAACGATAAAAAAAATGTTTTAATTAGATGAATATACATTTCAATATCTCCAAATCGGCGATCGAATTAGGGGTTATCTGCAAAACTATATGATGCAAGTAATACTGCGTCTGCAAATCATCTGAAATCAAAATTTTTTTCATTTTTATTAATTATATGAGTGTCGCTATGGCATAAACTAAAATAATATCAATTGCCAAAAATTTGTAAAAATGGTGGCATTAAAAAAAAAGTTAATCTTTTTCCCTAAAAATTTGTTACTTTTTTGTGAATAACAAATCGAATGTTTATTGTAAAATCATAATTATAATTCGTACCATGCGCAAAAGTAGGATCAAGAGGAAAAAAGAATTAAATCGATATCTTAATCCATTTTTTAGTTATCAGTTCCGTCAGATCGAAAAATGTGGTTTTGAGAAAAACGCGTTTAAAATTTTTGTTTGACTTTCCACATACAAGTTTTTAGTGCACTTACGATTGTTCTGCAATATGGCAACGCCATATAATAATCCTTCCTCCTCTTCAAATAATTCGTTTTCAATCTCTTCAATCACCGAGCTGTTCTGGCTTCTCTTGATGATTCTGACGTACGACAATTTGCTTTGCTCACGCGCTAGAAGCTCCGTGCGTTCTTACGTATTTAAGCTCATAGTTCAGTTAATATTGCGAATTTTAAACAATTCTTTTACAGGAATATTTTACACATATGTAGAAATCAAAATAAAGGAAAAAAAATTTTCGATTTTTTTTACGCCTGCAAAAATAAAATCTTCTTTAAAAAAAAATAATGTATTAAATCTCTAAAAATTGTCTTACAATTAGACAATTTAAAAAAAAACAAGCAAATAAATATATATACTTTCTACAAAATATTTATTTTGTTTGTAGAGAAATAAAAAATTAAAATAAATTAAAAATCTATCTTTATTAATCTATTTTTATAAAAGTAGAATTGTAAATGTTTGAGATTAACTAACTTCAAATAATTTTAATTTAGTTATTGAAAGTACAAATTAATTGGGTCCGTTTTTTTGTGTTCAAAAATGCATTTATTTCAAAACAAAATGAATGAACAGATTAATTAAAGTATTGTCCATCGCTGCCTATTACTTTTTCCCATCTCTCAGGCAATTTTCGAATTCCATCTCGAAAAAATGACTCGTCTTTGGAGGCGATCCAATTTTGGAGCCAATTTTCTGCGAAAGAAGTGAACCGGTGACTTACTGCATCCTTCGGAACAACCAGTAATCAGAAGGAGCAATGTCCGGAGAATACGGCAGATGAGGCAAAACATCTCATTTGAGCGTTTCCAAATATTTTTTTACGACTTTAGCGACATGAGGCCGAGCGTTGTCATGAAAAAGAATAACTTTATCATGTCTTTGCTCGTATTCTGGCCGTTTTTCTCGCAATGCAAACGACTCAAACGAATCAATTGTAGCCGGTACCGATCGCCCGTAATGGAATCGTCAGGTTTCAGCAGCTCATAGTACAAGACCCTTTTGGTCCCATCAGATACAGAGCATAATCTTCGAACCATGAATGTTCGGCCGTGATGTTGATGTTGAGGTTGATGGCAACGATTGATCGGGTTTAGCGTAGTATTTTTTCTTCTTGGGGTTGTCATAGAATATCCACTTCTCATCTCTAGTCACAATCCGATGCAAAAAACCTTTTCTCTTTGAATCAGCTGTTCGCAAGTGAAAAAATCGCCTTTCAATGTCTCTCGGTTTCAGTTCATAAGCACCCAATTTTCTTGTTTTTGAATCATTCCTATGGCTCTTAATCGTACAGAAACGGTTTGTTGAGTTATCCCCAATGATTCTGCAAACTCCTCTTGCGTTTGACTCTGATCTTCTTCGTAGTAATGCCTCTAATTCTTTGTCTTCGAATTTTTTTGGCTGTCCAGAGCGAGGCTTGTCTTTAATGCTGAAATCTCCATCCTTGAAACGTCGAAACCATTTCCTACAGGATTTATCAGTTGGAGCAGTGTCATCATAAACTTCGACAAGCATTCGATGAACTTCAGCCGCACTTTTCTTTCAATTAAAGCAGAAAATCAAAACCTCCCGCAAATGCTTGGTTAACACAAAATTCGACATTTCAAACACAGTAAAAATCAAGGTTTTTGTATGAAACTCAAAGTATAAACTGAAAAATATAAACTGAATATTATTAGCAGATGTTTAACCTCTCTGAAACCGCCAAAATCATCAGCTGTCACTATGAACCATTCACAATAGCTGGAGCAATCTTTAGAGACCGAACTAATTTGTACTCCCAATACATTTATTTATATTTAGTGTACATTTTGCTCTTTTTTTTAAATATCTTTTAAATTAAATAAAATACATTTTGATAAATATTTTTTTATAAACGCTTTTGCAGCTATTTTATATATTTTTTAAAATATCTTCCGTATTTTATATTAAACTATTATAATTAATCTACTATAATTATATAAGAAATAACTTTTTATATTATTGTACATCTTTTAAATTTAATTTTGCACATGCTGAAAAAAATAATTTTACAGTTGTATAGCGGAAAATTACATAGATACGAAAAATTAGCGAAATAAATAAATGACTAGTAAGCATTACGATATTATTAAATATGTTTTGTGTCTAATAAATATACATAATACAATAAAATTAGCGAAATAAATAAATGATAGAAACAGAATTTATATCTGAACTATTTGTCAAATTTATCTAGAAAGTTTTTCTGTAACATTCATTCGGATAATTGTGATTGTTACGATTCACATTTAGCAGTGATTCATATTTGATTATGATTCATTTTTCTTGCAAATATTGTTAGAATATTATGTTATGATTTCCGCGCATATGATACATAATTTTCTATTAAATATAAAAAACAACGATAATTTTAGCTGAAACAGCAAAATATTTTTTTGCACAAAATATATTTTACTAGATATTATTCTAATATACAATAGTGAGATCCAAAAATTTCGCAACGACTAATTATCTCAGAAAATATTGATTTATTGAAAAAATGTTTCAGACAAAGTTATAGAATTTAAAAAGATCTATTTACTAAGCTTATCAGTTTGTCCTTGGGTAGAGTCGTCATTCGATTTTTTTTTTTTTTTAATGAAATGCCCTATTTTTTATTCCAGAATCTAATAACTGGTGTTGGGAGCTTTTCAAAAAAAGCGTACTACAATAAAGTTCATTTTCATTAAATACTTTTTGAATTATAAAACTCGAAAGTTACAGTATTCCATTAATTCATTAGAAAATATTATCCAAGACGTCCGACCAATAATTAAAACCTCTTGAGTGTTATTCAGAATTATATTCTAGATAACATTTGTTAAGATCAAGGCAATTGGAAGTTGTTATTCTTATTTTCATTTTTGCATACAAAAATTTATTTTTACGTAAACAATTTATGAATTTACAGAAATTCTGAACACATTTTCTATTAAAGTCAAGTAATTAATTTTAAATTGGAGATGATTTAACATTAAATTATTTTCTAAATGCAATGTGTCTAAAAAAAGGATATTAAAGATATCAAAAAAGGACTAAACATTATTTTGTAACGTTTTTATGTAAAATAATTTGAAAAAATTGATAAATTCAAAAACTTAATAAGTTTATGCAATAGTATCTCATTAATACGTCTGGAATCAACATATTTTTATTATATATTAACGTATAAAGTATAATAATATAAAATATATATAGTTACAACAATTAAAGCAATTGATTCTTTCACAATTTCGAAATTACTTAAGTAATCATAAAATAAATAGTGCTGATTCAAGAGAAATTACAGTAAAAAGTACTTACATCATCCTGATGATACATTCTGCAAAAATATATACCTCTTTCATTATACCTGTACACAAAGATAACGGGCTGATCGATACGCACAAATTGATAATGTTGATCGATAGTTATATAAATCGAAGATAACGCTTTTCGCGAACCTCAGTAACTATCACTATGTTTTCTATCACAGATCTCATAATCACGTGTTTAATATACCACACCGCTTATGGTAAGTACATATATATTTGTGAAAATTTTATTGAGAAATTTTAAAGAGATGTAAATTTTAACAAATTATGAGCCTTAATGCACAACAAATAATTTGAACATATATCATAATAGTATTAACATTAATATCGCGCGCGACCAGATGTTATATAACTTATTTCTGTCACGTAATTGTCTCATATAATCCAAAGCGTTAATAATTACATTTTATATAAGCGAAAATATCATAACAAATTATTTAAAAATTAATTCAGCGGATTATACACATATTTTATTAAACGTAGTAATTTGGCATTTATAATATTTTTAAAACGACTAATGTAGCGCAATCTTGTTACTTTTAAAATTTTATTAAAATATTACTTACATATACTTATAATTTATTCAGTACTGTCATATTTTAAAACGGAATTTACATATATATTGTATAAAAAATAAATGTTAAAATAAAGAAAATAGTTAATACATAAGGAAATAAAATTTCTTAATAAAGTTCAAAATTTATATTTTTAATAAGATATTATAAAGACAAAAAAAACTTTTTCAATCGACAGGTGTGGATACTCAAATCGTAGGCGGCACGAATGCTTCAGCGGAGCAATATCCTTATCAAGTGTCATTGAAACAAAATGGAAACCATTTTTGCGGTGGTGTTATCATCCACAAGAAATTTGTTATCACTGCGGCTCACTGCTTATCGGAGTATGAGTATTTTCCTCTGAATTTTAAAAAGCATTCAATTGTCTATTACTATCTAAGTCTTAATTGAATAATTATTATATTTTCTACATTTGGAATTTTATTAATAAAAGAGCAATGCTATTATTATATATTATTTAAAAGCAAATATTTGTATAACGGAACGAAATTATGAGAAAATGAGAAAGAAGAATAGTAAAATTGGATCGAAGTTTGCCTGTAAAAGAAACATTTAAAATCAGTCTATTTTTATATTACTATGCCTGCTGAACTCGAACATAAAATTTAAAAATTATTTAAAATTCAGGGTTTTCTGAAAACGCAATTTTTCTACACAAAATTTCGTTTTTCAATAAATACTTACATTCTAATAATCAAATAATAATTGTGAATAAAAAAAATTCTTTTATTGATGAAGTTTTTAAGAGAAAAAAAAAGAGGAAAAGGAGAGAGAAAGAGAGAGAAAGAGAAACAGAGAGAATTAGTTTAAATTGGAATCAAATCGAATCGGATCAGTGGATATTTTAAATGACAGTCCAGATCTTTTTAAATAAACGAGAAAATGAGTTCATTTTTAATGTATTATCAAAATATTGTTTTTACATATATTTATGTCATATTATTAATTTTTCGATATACTTGTACATTCAAAATGAGTTTTTTCAACTTTTTAAGGTCTCTTTTTTAACTGATGTCAGATGTATAAAAATTTTCGAATTCAATTCATTTTTAAATCAAAATAAAAGATTTGATTCCATTCAATCCGGCGTAAAGATTTCAGATTCGGTTTGATTCAAGTCTTATCAATGCTTGATTCGCACATCTCTAAAAAAAGTGCTTTACTATCGCTTATTTTTTATCAAAATTCTGTAAATTCTGTGTTTTACTTTTAAACTTTGCAGACTGAAACTGATACTTTTTTGTTTTGCATTTCTTACTTTTTTCTTGTTTGCTGTAGTATGCACATTTTTTCTCAAAGATATGTAAATAAAAAGATATTTGAGGAAAGCATGTAAGAATCGACAAATGTAAGAGAAAAAAAAGTGCATTTGATATGTTATAACGAACAAGGAAAAAAGTATGAAGTATATAATATGAATCCGCAAAACACAGAACTATAAAATTGTGGAATTTCGATGAAAATTGTCTCCCTTTTCCTCCCTTTTTCACGCGCGCGCGCGGACACACACACACACACACACACACACACACACACACACACACACACACACACACATCAATAAAAGGACATTTCTTTTACTTATATTGTAGTTATTATTTGATTATTAGAATATGTATTGCAAAACAAGGCTTTTGTGTATAGAAAAATTGCGTTTTCACAAAATTCCTTAGATTTTGGATAATTTTAAGTTTCATATTTGAGTTCAGCAAACGTAATAATGTTTACAGGAAAATGTTTACAGGAAAATTTTAGCTTTATTTTACCATCCTTCTTTAAAGAAACATATAACAATTTTTGATATCTAGAAATAAACAATTTATATTGTTTATATGTAATTATGTAATGATATCTCAGATATATTCAGATATACATTTTCAAATAAATTCATATTTAAAAAAAAGTTAATCTTTTAAATTAACTTTTAAATTAAATTAAATACATGCAAATTTTTACTGATTATTACAGAAAGTTACCGAAAGATATTTCCATCGATGTTGGAAGCATTTATCTTGATAATCCTGAAACTAGATATTTGGCGCACAATCTAATAATACATCCTAATTACAATGAAACGCTGCACATAAACGATATTGGTTTAATTAACTTAACAAACAAAATTAACTTTAGTAATAACACTAAATTAATAAATTTAACATCTTCCGACCGTAATTTCGAGGGTCTTCAATTAAATGTTACTGGCTGGGGAAAGCTTAAGGTAAATATAAGAAATATATCTTATATTTCCTTTAAAATTATTTAAAATTATATCAGATGTAAGGATCTTGTAGCTAAACTAGTGTAAACTTGTATTTAAATTATAATAGATACATATTTGACGAAAGCAAGATAGAAAATAGAATTAATGCAGTCTAATTCAACGACAAAGAAAACAGGTCTATGAATCTACTTCTATTTAAAGACCAAGACATATATTTAATTAAAAATATTTATTTTTAGACAGACGGTTTAATTCCGAATCAGCTTCAACAAATTGTAGTGAATGGATTTTCTCAAACGGAGTGCGTCGAATTGTATAGTAACTCCACCAATAATATGTGCACCCTTACTGCGGTTAATAAAGGAATGTGCGATGTAAGTATATTTATAATCGTAAAATAAATTATATATACGCTTAACTCTTGTGATCTTTATCTTCCTATAATTTATAAAGATGTCATCTTGTTATTTTTTTCTTCAGATTAAATTGATATCAAGAAATAAAAGTTCTCTTTCTTCTAGATTATCAGAACTAGTTATTTCTGATACAGAAGCAATCAATTGCTTTACAAAAACAGCTAAATTTGACTCATTTGGCAATTATTTACGTCGTACACTAATATTTAAACTTTAACAATATATACATAAAACAATATATACATAACAACAATATATACATAAAAACTGGCTAATATTATATTAAATACACTGTCTTTGTAGGGAGATGCCGGTAGTGCGCTTACTTACGAAGACGAACTGGTTGGCATCATGTCATATAATAGACAGCCATGCGCCGATGGCAATCCAGATGTGTTCACCAAAGTGTACCCTTATAAAGAGTGGATTAATAAAACTATTAATGCAGGCAGCAACCAACAACTGAATATCATTCTTGGATCTTTTATGACATATTTATGTATTTCATTTATGTAAATACATATGCACATATATTTTTATTTATGTAAATAGATACATGGCTGATCTTTATTTAACATTCATTTGTCGCATTGCTATTGTCAGATTTGCTCTGGTATTGATTGTCTTTAATTTACTTCAGAATGTATTTTTCAGATTTAAGATCTTACGAAATTACAGTAGAGTACTAAGATCTGGTTTTACAATCAAATGGTTAGCTGGGATATACAGAGCTAAGCATTTAAAATATTTTAAATTTTATTATAAATAATTTTATTTAAAACAAACATATTGTGCAATTTTTTCATTAAATTACAAGTGTCTTTTTTACTTTGACTACTCATAGAAGACAACCAAAGTAATACTCGTTTCCTTAAAATACAAACAATATTAAGAATCTTCATTCATTTTAGATCGCACATATGATAAACACAATCAATACTAGAAATTTAAAATGCCTATTATATTATTATGCTGAATTTTATTGCTTTAAATAATTCAATCTTGGATTACTAAATTAATATATACTATATATATTATATATGTACTTGCATATACCATATTGTAGTCTTTTCGAATTGCGCGCCGAATTGTTTTTCCGGACTATAAACGTAACCGCAACTTAATTTATTTTTTGCAATAAATTTATTAACAATTTCAACATCTTTCTATAATATGATGCTTGATAGCATTAAATTATTAAAATTGCTTGTCAATTTAATTCGCGATTACTAGTGATTTTAATTGCGTTTATAGTCCAGAAAAACAATTCGGCGCGCAGTTCGAAAAAACTACAATATATGCAAGTACATATATAGTATATATTAGTAATCCAAGATTGAATTATTTAAAGCAATAAGATCCAGCTTTGACCGTAATAGGCATTTTAAATTTCTAGTAGTAAAAAACAAACTTTCAATTTCAAATTTTTGTCAGATTTATACGATTCAGATTCACAAGAAAAAATGAAAAGACAGTAATACGCAAATGAGAGAACATACACATGACACACGTTGTGCGTATTTTATAATGTAACAAAAACTTAGCAAAAATTTGTAAAAACCGCCCAAAAAATGATTAAAAATATGCCAAATATATTTTCTAATATTTTAATGCAAAACCATTTTGTAAATATATTCAAAAAATGCAATGGAAAGAACTAAATTATAAATAATGTCTTGAAAAAGATAATATTATCAATAATATAATCATATTATTTAAATGTAATTTACAAAAAAATCGTTAGAATTTTATTTTCGCATTCATAAAATTCATTTTTAACTGATTTTGTATAGAAACAAGCCACGAGTATATGATCGAGTTTTCACTCTTTCAATTATCAGAATTATCTAAACAGATCATGTTCTCTCTCGGTATTAATAAAATATGCAAGAATTATAGTTTTCAAAAAATAAATGGATGTCTTTATATGAGAACATTGATGTCAATATCGGCGTATATTTCCTCTACTTCTATGAATAAATATATTTAAAAAATATAGTTAAAATAATACTTTGGTTTCATTTTTTTCCATTGCCATTATATTTGGTTTTTCACTGCGTTTTTTTGTGAATATCATATAAAATAATTATATGTAAAAAGACATTAAAAATATACTTAGCGCTATTTTTTATTAATATCCTTATTAATATCTTTTTTAGGTAGATCGTGCATTTATAGATAAATATTTCAGAATGTAATATATAAATAACATCTATGATAAATTAAAATTAGTTTATCCTTAATAAAAAATTATGTTATATTTTAAAACCTAATCATAAAATAAATAATGCTAATTCAAAAAACTATAAAAAAAGTTACTCATATAATATTATCCTCGGCAACATATTCTGCGAACGTATACACTTTCTTATTATTTGCACACAGATAACGTAGAGATCAATACACAAATTGATAATGTCGATATATTGTTACAAGTTTATTCTCGTTACTGGTACTTTTTATTTTCAGCATGTTCATTTTCTCTTTCTCAATGTTTGAATATGTGTTTATTTTATTTTAAGTACAAACATTTTTGAAGATTTCAAGTAACATGAAGGCCTCATGTTTTCTATCACCAGTGATATAATCTTATACCTAATACACCTATGATAAGTATATTTGTGAAAATTTCATTGAAAAATTATAAGATGTAAATTTTCACTTATTATGAGTTTTAACGCATAACGAAAAATTCAAATGTATATCACAATAATATAGCTCAGCTTGATATTGATAAATATATATAATATTCGGATGTTATTAAAACATTAATAATTAATAATTGCATTTTACCTTAGTTTTGTATAAAAATATCACAGTTATTTGACAAATTAGTTTAACGCTTATCCATATCTCAAAAATGACATAACAATTTGTTCGACATTTAATTGTTTTAAAAAATGTGCTTCGCAATCGTATGTTACTGTAAAGATTTTTTAAATATATTTATATTCGCAATTCATTCCATGCTTGTCGTATTTTAAATCTATATTATTATATAACAAATAAATATTTAAATAAAAAAAACCATTAACATATGTATAAAAAAATAAAGGTTCGTAATACAGTTTAATATTAGTATTTTTAATAAGATCCTTTATTAGAAAATCAAAATCTTCAACCGATAAGTTTGCCAGATCTGCAAATCTTAGGCGATGCTTTGGATGGTGAATTTTCTTCATCAAGTTTCATTGAAGCTTGTAAGAATGGAAAGTATATTTGCGATGTAGCTATCATTCATAAGAAATACGTTATCACTGCGGCGCACTGCTTAGTACATATATTCTCTTTTCTTCTCAGTCTTAGAAAATATTCAACTATCTTATTCCTTTAATCAAATAATTATATAATTATTACCTTTCCTAATAATTATTAGGTAATAATTACATAATAATTATATAATAACAAATAATCGAAATATTATTGCATATATTTGTAATTTATAAGAAGACAAAGCTATCACACACATGCATTACTATTTGAATAGAAATTTAATAGAATAAAATTATGAGAATAATTTGAAAAAGCATGCAACAATTTTCTATAACTAACATAGATTTATATTGTTTAAACAATATATAAAAAAAATTAAGATTCCAAAGAAAAATCATTTCGATCTTTTGGGTCTTCTTCAGTACGAAACAAATTAATAAAAACTATTGTGCGTTACAATAAATTAAGTATCGAAATGCCTATTGTATTGTATCTAATTTTTAGTAATATATTTTTTGCACACGTCCATTTAATATCGACTTTTATAGGATTTAATTGAATTTGTTTAAAATTTAGATATAATTAAAATACCTCTTAGATATATTTACGCATGTACATTTTTAAATAAATGTTTAAACAATTTTTAATTAGCTTTTAATTTTTTAACTTAGCTTTTAAATTAAATACATACAAAATAATCATAATCTTTACTTTTGATTTTATTATAGTCTCTATGATTCATTCATATCATTTATTTGGTATTTAACATAAAGCAGATTGTGAAATAAATTGCATATCTATTTTGTACATCAGAATAATTACATTCATTTTTATTGAAAAATGTAAAAATTGAATTTATAAAAAATGAATTAAAAAAAAATTAATTAAAAAAAAATGAATTTTTTATTTTTATTAAACATACAAAAACAAGATATAAAATTTCAATAAATGATTTATCAAAGTCATTATTTATCATTATTTATCAAAGTCAAGTTACTTATTACTTGATAAACTTAATTACTAACTTTTGACTCACTCTTTACAAAAATTAATCTCTTAGAAATGATGATAAAAAGTAAGAAGTAGATATGTATACCTCGTGAGAAAATTTATTCTTTATCTAAAGAAAATTTATTAAAAATTCAAATAAATTAAAACTAATGTATTGCTGCAGAAACACATCATGTTTTGAGATCAATTTATTAAAAATTTTTAATCTTTATTTTGATATGTTTTAATGCGTATTCTTTAATCAACTAAAATGTATTTCAATAAATCTTTTTTTGTTTTTCACAGTAAGTACCTAAGTATTTTACTTTCAAAGCTTCACAGAATAGAAATTTATTAACTACCTTTTTATTGGAGAAACATAAAAAATAATAATTATACACATACGTTTATACAATATTACAAAGAAAAATTTAAATATTTTTATAATAATTTTAATATCGAAAAATACAATTTAATTTCAAGAAATATCTTTCTTAATTTCCTTTTATTAATCTAATTGCTTTTTATGAAAGTAAAAGAAAAAAAATTAATTTGTTATTATCAATACAGAAAGTTTCCATATAAAATGTTTCAAACTTTATCTCGTTAATTTCTTTTAATAATTTTTTAACGAGAATCTGATGTCAAATTTTATTTTTAAGAAATATGAATATCATTATTTGTCGTAACTTTTATAAAAATTAAAATATATAATAATATAAAATGTATAATAATTAAATATACATAATTATGAATCCTATTATTATATTATTCTATTATTTTTTCGAAACAAATCTATTTAATACACCATAATCTTTATTTTGATTCTCTGTCTTTTTCGTTTCTGTTTCCTTCTGTTCTTCACGAAGCGCTTCAATCATTTCCTAAAAATAATAATTTATATCATTTAACGTCCAATTTATAAGTAAAAATAATTAGCAAAAATAATTAGTTCAGAATATACACAATGCTTACCCGACGATTTAGGTCTTTCAATATTTTTTTAGTTTTGATTATTTTCGCAGTGCCACCTTTCCCCTTAGCTTTTGTTCGTCGAGGTTCAAAGTTTATTGGTTTTGGCTTAATATACTAAAAACAAATATTATTAAAAATGTCGAATGTCATAATCATACAAAATAATCTGAATTTAAAACATTTCTCTTATTTACCAAAAGTTTTTTCTTTGCTTCCACTTTTTCTTTATACGTAGGTACATCAACTTCAAGTATTTCAGTCGAATCTAGCGTAATTAATTCAGGTTGTATCTTTTCTAGAAGTGCTTTCACTTCCGTTTCTCGTCTTTGAATTTTAGTCTGGAATGGATTAACTTCATGCGCATCGTAGTT